GCGCCGGTTTTGGTTGCCGTCTTTTGGCTGCCCATTTTAATAATCAGTAGGAGAAAGACAGGAAAGTTGAAAGTAGAGTCGATTAGAAAATAGAGAAGTTCAGTGGACTAATGTTGCAAAGAAACTGAGAAGATACACGAGCGCCACTTCTAACGACATTCTGCCCTATCATGTAGTGTCTGTAACCATCGGTTACGATCATCCTACGACCAATGATAAACTGCCTTTTACACTGCTCCTCCTATTTTTGTTCTGACCAGACTATGTAGGTTATGCAGTACAGGGAAAACAGTATTCCCCCGCTTCTTTTGTTAGTAAATGATGAACATCAAATTTATTGGTACAGACGATTTCTGTAGTGTGATTACCGTCGGATAAATGATGTCTGATTATAAGAATGGGTTACGATAAACTGGGATCTAATTATCATTTAACTTGAATATATACGTTTTGCAGTTGAAAAAAGTGTACAAACTGAACCAGCTCAGGGGATGCAACCTCGGAAAGCTGCATTCCATCAGTCAGTTAGATGAGACCCTGTTCTAAAAATTATTCTTCCTGTGCTATCTGGATCAAATCCTCCTCGAATGGTTATTCCTATCATAGTGCTGCATTGTCACTTTCTTCTTCCACTACAGCACGGAGCAGATGTCAATGCAACAGACAGTTATGGCCTAACCGCTTGGTCATATGCCCATGTCTGTCACCAGACACCATGTACACGTCTTTTACAAATGAACGGTTGTCACACAGTTTCCCCACTCGGTGTGCCGGCTGATTGGCTTCAGCTCATGCGCATGCCGTTCCCGCTGACCTCCCAGTCCAATTCGATCACTGGAAATCTGACCGGGGAGATCTCCGCCGGGCCCGATCGACTCGGTTTTCATTCGTCCGACTCCGGTTCGCCTTCTTGTTCTTCATCCTCGTCATCCGCGGTCGCCAGTGAATCTGATGCGGATGATGCCGCCCAGCCTGATGAGAACGCGATTATTCGGCACCCGGTTTCTTAATGCCTATTTATCTCTTCACACTTCTTTGTGCACACATCACAGTACTTTGTGAGACCCCTCAGTGTCGTGCGTATTCTGCTGGTTGTCTACCGGTTCCTTTGATTATTTACGAGCTTGTAATATCACTATACACCCGACCAAAAATTCTGTTTCGTTGCTCCCTTTCCAAGCTGATCAACAAAGTGCATTTGGTTCACTGACCTTTCTCCTCTCCCTCATCTCGACCAACTTCTTTCTCACATTGACTTCCAGTCAAAACGGTCCTATTGAAATTATTGGGTGTCTTCGAAGGATGCACCCGTGACACGCATTCCATGCTCGATATATCAGAAAACCACACTTGGAACCAACGGAAGCTAGTCCTTCTAATAGCCATGGGTTTTCTCCGTCATTGATTTGAGTCAGATTTTTCCGCACACTTCACCCCTTCTCCTACTGTCTGGCTTGACCATATACAGAATAAGCCATGCATTTTCTTTTCCCCTCCTCTGTGCTTCCTAGTTACCCTTTTATGTTTGAACAAAAATGTGAACAGTTCAGTGCTTTCTTTATTCTTCCATCTTCTTTCTGTGGCGAATGTTTGTTCTACTTCCATCCGCACATGTTATATTTATTCTTCCGGCTCATCTCTATCTCTGTCTGTGTGCTGTGACACTTCCAATCAGTCGTTCATTTCTATCGTCGCCGGGTACGCAGATCGGCGTGCACTATTACTTTTTTCGCTCACGATTTGAATTAGTCGTTTTGTTTTGTTCTCTGCTGTCTGTGATTAATACGGTGCATTTGGTGTATTATGTATTTTTCGCCCGGTTCCTGCCACAGTTTCATTTTTCACGTTGCTTTCACATCTCTACCCAAACTTGGCCTCAATCAATCAACCAACCCGACCAAATCATACTACCCATTTTGCTGCTTGGTTGTTTGTTTCCGTACTGCTTTCTCCTGTATCATATCCGTTTTGCTTGGTTTGCACGTCTGTTAGTTCGCTTGTACCTGTTTATCTGGACATAGATTTCTTCGAACCGAGTGAGTAAAGTATGTCTCATTGTGCACTTCATTACGTTCTTTGAATCACTCACTCCGCTGCGCATCACCTGCAAGCGTAATCTTTGTCCATTCAGATGATGAATGAATGTTCTGGTTTTATGATCTTTCTCTCTCTGTCCATCCTCTTCGGTTTTTCACATTGAGCCCCCTGTCCGCTTTGGACCGACGAATTCCCATACCGATTTGAGGTTTGCACGCGATGTATTGCGCCTCTTATTCTGGTCGAACCGTGGCTTGTCGGAGCAACCAGACTTGCTCGCGCTTTGTGGCCGGATGACCTCCCCCCCCCCGCCNCGCCGCACTTACGTTTTGCTGTTTCTGTCTGCCAATCTTTGTTTGTCTGTCTGTTTCTTCGTATGCCGACTAGGCACACGCGGTATTCCGATTCGTTTTCTTGGAATATTTATTTTGGCTTATTTACCGCCGATGATCGCTGCTCTGTTGAAGTGTTAAGTGATACGGCTCATCGGCTTCTACTATCAAGATGGTTTTACGAGTTTGACATTTTTTGACAACATACCTAATTACGGTTTTATCGCTTGGAAAGTGATTCGAATGTAAAACTAATATGAATTTCACACTAGGATGAGCAATACTTTATTTACTGGTGAAAGCATCGGGTTTACTTGCAGCAAGTTATCCCAAATCAGGTTTAGAGAAAGTTGTAATCTACATGGGTGCTGGAAAAATGATGCCTTTTCATGTGAGTAATGGAGGATTTGGTTCAATTCAAAGGGGGAATTCGTCGTGCATGCAGCAAATGAAGCGTGAACTGAAAAGTTAGGAAGCACTGGACAGCTGTTCCGATCTGGTTTGGTCTCATCAGCGGTGCGAATCCATCGACCCAACTGAGGATCGAACCAGGTACTTCACAGACAGAACGCGAGCATGCTTCTCATTCGGCCACCGGGCAGCCGAATAGACCGTTTTGCATTTACACGATATAGTGCAACCCAGGCCTGCAACGAGCTCTCGAAGATGGGTTGTGCTGTATCGTGTAAATTCAAAATAAGAAACGGTTTGATCAGCTTCCCGGTGACCGAGTGGGTAGTATCCTTACGTTCTGCCTGTGAGGTCCCGGGCTCGATCCCCAATCGGGTCAATAGAATTCGCATTGCTGATGACACCCAACCGGGTAGAAATAACTGTCCGGTGTTTCCCAGCATTTCAGTTCGTGCTTCATTTGCTACATACATGAAGAATTCCCCTTTTAAGCTATTTTTAATAATTTCTTTACTCCGTTCACAGAAAACCTCTCTCTGCAGTCAGATGATACTTTCGTTATGAGATAACCTAATCCTGATCGGCTGAGTTGGTTCAAGGTGTTCAACCGATTTGTGGTTCAGCGACAGATGGAGCAGACATTATTCGTTTTTCATTGCATGTTCAAATCCCGACATCCGTGTGGATTTTGCGGAACAAAAGCTGCTTACCACTAACCGCGTCTGGGATGATGGAAATTTGAACAACCTCTAGGTTGTCGTCGCATTCAGAAGAAATATTTCAACGAGAGAGGATTAGTTCCCAAGCCAGCTTTGACAGTACTTGTAAACCAACTTACCTGGAATACTTCCCGTTTTACATATCAGTTTCACAGTACTTTGTTCGATTTTCTTTGGTGTCGCTCCGGATGGCATCAAAACTGGTTTGAATTAAATACCTATTTTTCTATCAACCTTGGAATGCACACAGTTCCGCTTTTGTTCAAAGTTTTCAGTGTTCAGGAACGGTAGATTAAGCGAACCTTGATTGTATGGTCTGTTTGTTCGAGAGAACTAATTCATCTATTCATCACCTCGTTTCGATGAGATTTGTCCCCCGTGAACGGTTTTCCAACAGTTATCACTTTTTATGGCAACGAACCGTTGCTCATAGTCCTGGTGTGCAGTCCAGTCGAATGCGCATTTTATAATTCCTCCGTGTAATACAATAATAAACACGGATTACAATGGGGAACAAATTACAAATGCAAGCAGTCAGTTGTTGAGCCAAACAAATAAAAATTGCAGGACTGAACTCGAAATCCATTTCTCTCAGTTTGAGTGAACCTCATCCAACTGGATGCTTGTTCGTCGGTCGGTTGAAGAGAATAGATAGTTCATTGGAACCTACGATTTCCACTGACTTGTTGATTCCTCAAGCGAATAAAACTCGATTCAGCAGTGATTTGATTGCAAAACCGAGCGAAGTGTATACCGACTCATCACATTTCTTCACCAGCAAATCAGGATGAAAAATATGCTATTTTCGGGTTAGCGTTGTATGAGGACGAATCCAACAGTCAAGTTCAAAAGTGACGCACGAACGGATTAGAAATGGTGAAAATCGATCTTCGGTTACTTGATTGTATTGCCTCGGCCGGGTTTGGGCGTTTGGAGTCTGGCTACCAAGCCCACTGAGGGACTGATTACCAAGCTATCTGCCCTATTCGATTGTCGAAAATAAGATTGAACACGTTGCTTTCGTACGTATCGTGTTACCGGTTTGCTGTCAAGAAACTGCCCGTGTTCACCGTGCGCCATCTGCAAGGTCTCTGTTCGACATGTCCTTATTCGGAGATGGTTCTGCTAATGATCTCCATTGTTCTTAATACCGTAACCAGTGTTTGTATAATTCATTTCAGAGGATGAATTTTCACTCAGCGCAATACGTCATAATCAATAGAGGTATCAGTACCAATAAATCGGCGAGCTACTGCCAGTTGACCTAGAGGATTTCGCTCAAAACCTTGATGCCAATTGAGCCGGAGACCATTGCCACAACTGGTGAGCTGTGGGTGTGGTTTGTACGCCTTCTCTTGGTTGGTTTGGAACGAGGGTGTTTGGCCAACTCGCCTAGGTGAATTGCTAGTGGTCCACCAACCCGGTTATAGCCCCGAATTTCGGCTTTTCGTCCTCCTATTTTGGTGGGAAACATTTCCGCCACGAAAAGGCAATGAGTAGCGCTTCCTCAGCAGAGATCATTAGGGACGCCTGGTCGTATGGGAGCGTTTCGCGAAGTGCAAGGGATGGGTGACCAGCCTCAACGATAGACATTCACCCCTCCCCAAACTGAGGGGAGGCAATAGATATGCGAAGCACACCCAGGCCTTCTCGATTCTGATAATGGTCACTCGCTGGATTGGTTATCGAGCTTTATTGGACACCTTGGATTTTTGACCCCGTCCAAAGGGGATGGAGCCGACGAATTGAACTGGATTCTGGCCCCCAGGGGATTACGGTTTTCATACATATAGGCCGCTTTATGGATCATGTTTTATGTACCAGAAGGCTGAGATGGTAAATCTGTAAGGGCATTTCATCTGTTTTGACGTAGGCAACCAGGCAGTGTTGCGCCCACTAGCAAATCATGGAATGCATTTCTTTTAAACAAATTATTGTGAGGTCACTGGTATAGCATACAGTGTGTGAACTCAGACACCTGTGAACCACAGTATACTTATACTAATCACTGTATTGTTAGCTGATGTGTAATTGTACGAAGGTTTACAAGCTCTTATAGACTTTTGGTGTTTGCTTTAGACAAGAATCTATTGGGGATTCGTTTGGAGGAAGGTTACTTTAGCGGAACAAAAGGTGGTTTCATTTAAATGGAATAATGTTGTTGAAGATTGACGGAAAATGGAAGAAAACTCGCTTAAGCATTTCAAAATTTGAAATTTATCTCAGGTTAGTATTAAGCAGGAGTGGTGTCCTCACGTTATCATCTGTGCCTGAGCGACTTCGAACGGCATTCTGTTGCGCACTAGATAGGTCAATCGGGGGAGGAGTTGAAAACATCACCATCAAGTTTGGTCAATTGAATTTATTCAGTAAGCCATGTGATTCATTCAGCTGAGCACTGATTGTGAATGGGGAGACGTATGCCGGACATTTGGAAATTAAAATCGGTTAATAAGGTCGGAACAGTATGAATTATCTCAGAAACATACATCAGTCTTTCTC